ATAATCACAATTTTTATTTATCTGATTGGTAGATCTTATTCGAAAACATCACCAAATTTCCAAAATCCGCCCATATGTGAAATACATCGACCAATGAAATTGGCCCATATTTGTTCATTTTTATATGTCGTTTCATTTTACCCCTCCCCTCCTCCCGAGAGTCCTAGAAAGTGATGTTAACCGAAGAATCAACTTCGAACGGCCTAAATCAAAAGTGAAAATTCTTTTAACACCCTGTCACGCTCCTGAAAACAGAAACAAAAAAAAGAGCGTTATTACGTTAAAGAGCACATTATAAAGAACTCGACAAATATTATTTTATTTTTGTGGGTTTGCTGGTTCAAGAGTTATTACAGCTTGAACTTTGTGTTTTTAATATTAACTAACGCTGATCTACAGTACACAATAAAAATCTTGATTAATGATCATCATTATATGAACTGCAATATGTTCGAACACCTCACAGTTAAATGCATAAGCATTAGTGATGGGGACGTATCCCAAATTGGCAAAACTAGTTTGGAACTTGAGCTTTTGGAAAACATTCAAATCCCAATTCCTAACTGTTGTAATGTTATTAGTTACCGGGTCCCATCACTAATAAATATATAAAAAACATGTCAAATTTTGGAATATACTGTATATGTAAACATGAATTTTGCTATTAAAAATGTAAAAAAATTATTTCTATAGTACAATATCTTGTTAAAATTTAATTAGTCGGCAATTGCTTTCTGGCACTGGATGTATCGTAAAAAAAATGCATTTACAATTTATCATATAAACATATAGTACATACATATTTATTTACTAACTTATTTGTAAATGGTTTTTGAAATGGCTATCATAAATCATATTAAATTACAGATGTAAAAAATTGATAAAAGATTTTTATGCTAATTGAAAAGAAAATTTTAAAAAAAAATTATAACCTTTTTAATATCAGTCTAAACATTTCAATTTCTTGAGATGAACTAAATATTTTGTTCAAATCTTCTGATGTTGCTTGTTCATCATCACCAACCGCACGGGTTGATATATCTACTGCACTTGTATTATTTATATTATTTATTTTAGTTTGATCGATTTGATTATTTATAGAACTACCTATCAAAGGATCAGATGAAGTTGACAGATTTAAATAATGAGATGGCAAATCTAATGAAGAATATTGAGAAGGATCTTTTAAATGAGCAGGTTCAGGATAAACTAAATGAACATCTTGATCATTTTTTTGATTGTTAAGAGTTATATCGTGCTTGAAATCACCATTTCCAACCAGGGAAGAATAGATATTAGAAGCATTGCCATCAAAAGAGCTGATCGGTGATATAATATCAAGCGAAATTACTCGTAAAGAACTTTTTGGAGGAGAGAAAAGTTTAATCAATAGCATGTATCTTAACCATTCTAAAAAAGAAGGTTGTGAATCCAAATTAGTATTCTTGTTTTTGTTATCATAATTATAATTATTATTGTTGTTTTTGTTATCATAATTATTATTGTTGTTTTTGTTATCATGATTATTATTATTAGTTATATCTTTGTTAATAATATCATCATCGATAACATCATTGATAATATCGCTTTTGTTGATATCAGCATTATTGCAATTTAGAGGTTGCAATTCAATAATACCATTGGATCTTCCTAGCATATTGAACTCATCTGTAACGGACTTGTTATGAGATCGATGAGGATAATGAGACTCATAAGAGTTAACATTAGTGATCCACCAATGTAATTTAATATCCTGGAAAGCACGAGTAACAGCAATATCTTGAGAAAATACCAAAGCATTCAGCAATCCTGAGATGCAAAAGATTTGATAAACAAAATAACCAAAGCATAATCAAATTGTAAGAAGGAAAAAATGACACATAATATACCTTGAATTGATATGCCAATGAAACAAAGTAAAAGTAGAGGATAAGAGACCTCACGATTAATATAGGCGGACGTTTCAACTAAAGAGCTAAAAAATTGGGCTACCAATGGTACCACAGGATACCACACGACCCTTCTGACAATCGAAGAAACCATTGTCTTATTAATTAAGGTAGGTTGAACTGATAACTGAGAAGAAGAATTCAAAACATCAACATTCTTGGTCACAGATCCGAGTTTTCTTGTGACCATAATAACAACAATCGCACAGTACAATATGGATAAATCAACCCAACCGAAAAAAGTAATCCATTGCCATATTATATTATATTTTTCACCCGAATCACGATACCAACAATGGCTGTAATAAATATAATATATAATAAATATGAATATATGAAATAAAATGTTATAAATATACTTTATATACATATACGCTTCTTATAGAAAAGTATTCGCCCTACTTCAAATTATCTAAATCAAAATAAATCATGAATTTTAATCACTATTGTAAAATTTATTATCTAGTAAAAAGTGTAGTGGTAATTAAAATTCACGATATAATCTTTAATTCAGATAATTTAAAATTGAATACTATTCTAGAGAGAGTGAATATGCACTTAGCTATACGTAATAATAAATATCATACTTTTCAGGATAATCATAACCATACATATTACCAGCAATAGGAAGGAGAGAAAGTAAAAGGGCAAAAGAAAATGAAATTATAAAATAATATTTTTCAAAATTATATCTACTATATTCATTTACAAATATTATATGAAGGTTCTAAAATAAAAGAAAAAAAAATGAAATATATATATATATATGTAAATACGGAGTAATATAATTATAATACATACCAAAGCAATACAAACGATGAAAAACATAGAAATAAGAGTGAAAAATACCATTGCCCAACCCTTATATATATAAAAAGATCCGAAGAAATTAAAGCAATTTAAATTTAAAAATTGAAAAAAAAGCATTCGAATGGTATATGAAATCTGCTAGTGATGAAAATTTAGATGGCCAATTATATGTCAGAAATT